GAGCCGCCGCCTCCTGCGAACGGATCTGGCGCGTGCGACTCTCGCACGGGTGGTTCTGCATCCGCCGGCAACGAAGCGGTGACATTTTGGCCGCTCATTTCCTTACCTCCCTCGATGCCACCTGCTTGCTCTCTCCTGGCTAGCCTGCCGAATGTCGCTCCGGCACCGCTAGCCACCTCCCCCACCAGCGCTGAGCTGTCCCCCTCCTCACTCTCCCCTAACGCCACTCCATTTTTCCCCTGCCCTACCGGCAGGTAGAAGAGCATGTGTTGGGAAGATGATTCATTCTCCCTCTCTGACGGCTTCGATGACAACTACTCCTCCTTCGCTAGCACATATCTAGTGGCTGCTCGGCGGGCCCTTTCAGCCACCGTCGAGGTGTCTCCTCTGGGCGCAGCATAGGCACACGATGCTATTACCGAGATGATGCAAGCCACAGGTGCAAGCATGGCGCCAAGACATCAATAGCGGTGTCACCGCGGCCAGTGGGAACCAGCTGCAAAGCACGTGGAGAACCAGGTTGCCGGCGGGCAGGTGTCGATGCACCATCGCCTGGGGCAGAGGTGGCGTAGGCCACCTAAGCGTCACCGAGCACAGCCATAGCTCGATGACGCTGGTGCCAGAGCCTAGGTCGCTACTGATGGTGCCCGCTTGCCAATCCATCAGAGGTTGGGCCCATGGGTTTTGGTTGGCAACCGCCGTCGCATTCTTCACCTCGGACATGGATGGCTGGCGCAATGTCCTGCCGGCAACCGCTGGCGGTGGTGGGAACGAACCCAACACGCCCGTGAGCCAGCGACCTCCGAGGCACATTCCGTCAGGTCTACACGGCAAGTGCTTCAATTGCCTCTCCTCTACACATCGAGTGGCAACCTGCGAGCTGCCCTAACGTTGTCTACACTGCAAGGGCCTTCGACACATTGCGCGCCACTACAAGCAGCCACAACACTCGAGCTCTGGGAGCTCGGGCATTGCTGGCGTTGTGGGTCGACAGCCGCACCCAGTTCGTGGCACCGGCAACCCTGTTGGTGCTTGGCCAGCGGACAATGGTGCTTCGCGTGGTGCTGACGGGACCATGCTGGACATCTCCGATCCTGCCAATAGCGGCCAACGACGCCAACGATGAAGGCATCTCGGGTGGTCGGCAAGGGCTGCTCCGTCAGCGCCAGGTGAAAACTCGGCCGCCGCCGAGCCAGATCACTCCTCCAATGATGCTGCAGCTGACCATGGCGAGCTGGCCAATGGGACGTCCCTTCTTGGGGTCAACTCGTTGACGCTGGCCATGTGGCCTCACGACTTACTCCCTGCTCGTGACTTCACAAACGACCCGATGGTGGAGGAGTTTGTAGCTTCTCTTGGCACCAGTCGGATTGTCACATGTCTAGTGGCCACCCAGCCAGAGGTTGCACCCAAGGCGGTGGTCACCTACGTCTGCACCTGTGGGCAGCAGACGCTGTTTGAGCTTGCGCCTCCATACCCCGCTCAGTGGGCTGTGGATTCGCCACCAACATCACCTTAGCCTCACCGCTCGCCATCATCGCCTGACTTGGCCCCGCGTCGCTCCCCCTGGGTAGAAAGTGGCTACGGACGCCTGTGCCGGATTTAGAGGCTATGGAGCTTGAGCTGTTGAGGCCCAACCACGGGTCATTGATTGACGACGAAGGCCACAATGCTCAACCTCCATCGGCTGATGCATATGCATCCCTGTTGACATAATTGGAGGCACGGGTATGCATCCCGCTCGAGACTCCTTTGATCCGCACGTTGAGGCTGAGGAGGTCCAGGACACCTTCAATGGTGATGTCGGTGCGTCGGAGTGGGAGGCTTGCTGCTAAAACCAAGGCCTCCAACCCGACTGCCCAAGCATAAAATGTGCTGAAGCAAAAGCTAGGGATCAGAAGCATGGCGCAGAGTCCGGAGCCTGTGGCTTTGGACAGTATCAAGGCGTTCTTCGTTGCGCCGTTGTCGCCCTCCAAACAGGTGGCCCTTTAGGCGCTCTTCGCTCCAGATTTTGATCCGATGACCATGGAGCTGAACCTCACTGGCTTCGAGCACGACGCTTTTTAGCCGCTGAGTTCAGGGCATGTTGTTTTTGTCCCTATGCTTGTTGCTCTTCACGCTGCATAATTTATTTTCTTGTGTAATCACACTATGTGAGCTCTGTCGGTTGTTTGGTTCAGTAACCACAAATTACCATCCCAGCTTTAATTTGTAAAACTCTTCTTCTGTGTTAATGAATACCGTGCCAATGGCACGTTCGAGAAAAAAATAGTTAACTAAGCTTGATTTGGCACGTGTGTAAGGTTCAATTTTGTTTCTAACAGCTTTGTTTTGACTCCTCTAGTGTTTACGGTTCGGTTTGCTCTTTCTATGATTATATTTTTCGCTAGTGTTTACAAATTGGTTTGCTCTTTCCATGGTTATATTTTCAGTAACAATAGATATGCTCTTAGTTATTATCTGCATTTATAAAAGCTATTGTCAAGTAAGGGTAAAAAAGTTCGGCAACACTAGCGCCTCGGACGTCCGAACGGACCTCCCGCATTCGGACACCCGCGCCATTCCCCCACGCTTCCCTGCTTCCCACGCTTCCACGCCTGTTGCGCCTCTCCCCTCCATGCACGGCGCCCCAGCAGCTATGACAAGTGGCTCACATTACAATATGTACAACACCCCCGATCTATTTTTAAAACATCCAAATGCAACAATTGCAACATATGCACAAAAATAGCTGAAACATTCAAAACATACGCCTGAAACACATGCAAAAACACATGAAAAGCACTTGAAAACAATTGCAAACATATGCAACATCCAGATAAACACAGTTGCAACATATGTCTGAAGAAAATAGAGGAAACATTGGGAATAGACACTTGCAACATACGTGTACAATCATTGCAACATATGCAACATCCCGATCTACTTTTACAACATCTGCTTCCGCATGAAATACTTGAAACATACCTATAAAACATCTGAAACACTTGAAACATGCGTTTGCAACATGAGGAGCCCGGGGCCAGGCGATACCAGCCGTAGGGGTCAGAGCCGGTGCCGCGCGAGCACCACCACCACCACCAACAACATCGCTAGCAGCACCGGACTTGGCTCGGCCGGGCGGGAGTGAGCGGCGTGGGATGGGCGCACGACAGCAGGGAGGAGGAGTGGGTGCGCGATGTCTGGATAGGGAGGCCGTGGCTAGAGAAGGCCGCCGCGTTGGAGAAGACCAGCGGCAAGCGGGTAGCGCGGTGGATGCGCCCGTGGTGGTCACATACGTGCGGCAGTGGAGAAATGAAATGTCGCTATGTTTTTTATTTTTTTGTAGAAACTGCGCGCGTACTGAAGGTGGAGCAGAGGAGACCTGTTGGGTCCGATCGTTGGGCAAACCTAGGAACAAGCCATTCGGACAGAACATGCCTGGACAGACGCCCGTGTACCAACATTATCGAAAAACTTTACACGCTTTTCACTAAATTATGGACATCCTAGGGGGTTGTTTAAAAGCTAACCGCTCTGCACATTTGTCGCATCCTCCCTCTCCATAGGTTGTGGTGGCTAAGGGGCACTAAACTTTATTTCTTCGACGCGTTACAATTTTGTCAGGAATCAAACAAGAGTGAAGCTAAGGCATGGCGAGTTGTAACTAGCTGACATCGGCAGCCAAACAGAATCTAAGTTCATGCCCTAATCTATATCTCTAATAAAAACAAACCTCACTATCATTCAATCTCCACGTGTAAGCTATCCACGTGTCATCTTCCACCGTGTCACATTATCCTTCCTAATAAGTGCTACAACATCTTCCACCAAATGCAATGTAATTACTATTTCCAATCTACATACAAGGTATGCCTGTTGTACTATTTGTTTGGCTGGCACATTCTCCTATCATTCCATCTAATATTCCAAAAGTGTTTTATTTGATTTTTCTATTAGCTTAATCAGTTTTCACAGCCTATCTCATATAAGCAATGATACAATCATTTTATTTATAAGAAAGTCCCGCAGCAAATGCGTGGGGCATCCATCTCCTACAACTTAAAAAAATAAAGAGTGGATATTTTTTTGGTGCGATATTTGTTTTGGTTCGTTCGTCTGGCCACGCCTGCGATTCCCCATGCGACGGTAACTTCACGGTCCGCCTACACCTGCCATGATCCCTCACTTAGAAAAATATGTGCCCGCCTTGGTGCCTCTCTCGCCGCCGCTTCTTCCTGCGTGCCCTCGCCTCGCCATGCAAGACCTAAAGATGGCAACGGGGATATACCCGTCGGGTATCGTCGGAACGTTCTCTTCCCCGCTACGGAGAATTCATCCCGTCCCCGTTCCCGCTAACTGTCTCGGGTATAGATTCTTACCCATCCTCGTGCCCGTCGGGCATCGGTCGGGTAACAGATACCCGACGAGTACTGCATACCCGATAAATAAGGACACTTGAGGTCGCAGCTTTGCAATCGAAGACATTTCTTCTTCACCCGGGTGTAAGTGTTAGAGTCTCGGAGACGCTGAAGAGAAGGAGCGAGGTTGCGAGGAAGACGAGCAAAGGTGGCAGAGAGACCGAACTGAGGAAGCAAGGGGCACGAGCGCTCGTGAGGCAGGCGTGCTTGGCAGGCGTACTTGTGCTGCTGACGGAGATTGTGAGAAAAAATTAAATTAGAGTTTCTAGAACACACAAATTATATATATATATATATATATATATAATTGTTTAGATTTGGGCCAAAATCAGGTCTTCGCCCGCTCGGCGGGAGCTCCAGGAATGGCCGGCGAGGAGCGGCCGCCGACGCGCCGGTTCCTGGAGTTGCTCCGTCGCCCCGACGCCGCCGGACGCCGCCGCCTCCACGATCGCCCGCCGCCGCCCCGACGCGCCACCAACTCCACGATCTGAGCATCGCCTGGAAAAGGTAACCTCGCTTGCATCCTTCCTTTCCATTTCTCGGGAGGCACAAAACCCTAGCAGGATTCTCACTATGTATTCTCTCGGTCTCGCTGTGGTGATGGTGAAGCAGAAGGAGGATTCGTACCAGGAGGTCGGGGTACGGCACGGTGAAGGACCAGACGCTGGAGCTAGTGAGTAGAGGGCATGGCAAGGGTCCAACGTTGCCGTCCTCAACGGCGTTATCACTCCCAGGTGAGGTTCGCTCTTGCGATCCTTTTCGTTTATCTCGACTCCCTCCCCTCCCTCCTGTGATCCTGAACTCTTCTCTTACGAGCCCGCGGGTAGAGTGGAACATTAGAATTCCCATGGTTTGAATCGTTGTACGAGTCAGGATCTGTGCTTAGGGTGTTCTGCAGATGCGATTTAGGGCGTTTAGGGTGTTTTGCGGATGCGATTTATTAGAACTTTACGGCAATAGAGTTTTCCTACTGGCCTGTCCTTAGTCCTCATTGTTATACTGAAGGTCTCAGTCCAATAGTCTGAAGTCTGAACTTCTCTCCTAATCTTCAGCTGATATACTTAACATGCCATTCTGATTGTAGCTGAGGAAGTTAGCTAAATATGGTCTTATGTGTTTAGATTTTCAGGTTGAGATGTCTTATATCTAACTGCAGACATCAACTAGGTGTGGTATTAGCTAAATATGGTTGTATGTTGTTGAATTTGCTTTTTTGGTGTTACTGCCACTTGTGAAACACCATCGCAAAGTTGAACTTGGAGACACTTGGTAGGCTTTTAATCGAAGGCCAATTTGCAGATTTTATTTCAGATATAGCACAATAAACTGGCTAATTTTTATATCATGCAACAGACTGACGTAGATATAGGTCAACCAAGAAAAGCATGAAAGAAACACGAGAGATGGTCAGTGCATTACTAATGTGGATGTAATTCATTCTGATGACATTCTTGTGTCAACAGAAGCAATTAGCTTGCTTTCAAGTAATGTTACTTTTATTCTTGAGATATACTGAGCTTGTTTACTTATCAGTTGGAACTAGGACAGCTTCTGATTCTGGCATAGGAAAGCCGTGAAGCTGCTAGGAAAAGCCGTCTAAGAAAGAAGGTAGTTTCATCTACCTGATGGTAGATAGTATTTTCCTTGTGCATGAGGACTGTATTTAGTTTCTGTTTTCTGTCTCTATGTTGAACAACTTGAGAATAGTAGGCTGAAAGTTAGCCAGTTGGAGCAGGAGCTCCGGCGTGCTCGCCAACAGGTATGGTCGTCATGTACTCGTGTTTTTTTTGGATTCGACAAATCTGAGCTATCGCCTTTGAATGATTTTATGGTAGCTATGTTTGTTCTAAAAAAAAGTTCAGAAACCCTGCCCTTGTGTCCAAAGAGAAGAGATCATAGTATTATGAAAAACATGATGATGTTACAACATATTACGAGAATCCATCATCAACGAAACTACTGATTATTATATTTATTAACAATATATTGTTGATATAATCAGTTGTTTCATCACAAACTAGATAGTGTTAGCTATTATGCCTCACCAGAAACAAGCTGCTACCATCCAGTAGTGGATTGCGTCTACAGTCTGATTGTCGTATTCTTATATAGAGTTGACTTCCCCATCAAATTGTCTCTATCGACTTCAAACCCATCCTAGATTTTGCCCCCCCGCACCCCCCCCCCCCACTGCAGAGCCCTTCCGCAATCGACAACAGCAGTTCCTGACTTCCTGGTGCTGCACATGACCATGGCGTATTGGCGTAGGTGGTGATGCAGATGGCGTTGGGGGGCCTGAATTCAATGGTGTTGACCCCGACCACCGTGGCATTCTCAGTCCCCACGAACACCGAGAAGATCGTCAAGGCGGCCGCTGAGCATAGGGACGGGTGGACGGGCGGCGACGTTGGTGGTAATAAGGCAAGCATCAGCTTTGGCGACTCTGCCGCCATGGACATGCCCAGCCATGAAGGTAATAAGTCTGATTCCCTGGTTTTATATGCTGAAGAATAGGTGTATATACAATGTACAAGTATTTTTTTTTTAGATTGCTGCAGATACAACCTGACATGTTCAGTGCATACGCATTAGGGGAGTGCATTTTAAAGGATGAGTTGGCGAGCTTGCTGCATATACATGCAGACATGGACATCAACTAGAAAGCACTGCAGGTTTATTTATTTGGGATATTGAAGAATACGAGTCTTTTCTGTATTTTGTATTGCTCCGTTTAAAAGAAATACAACAACCTTCTAATTTGCATTGCAGGTCTAGCTCCTAACGTGTGTATGCAATAGTTGCTCAGATGAAACTTATGCAGTCGGATGCTCCATGTACGGGCCTTTTCCTATGACAATATTTGCGGCAGTTGCTAAGATGAAACATATATATGGAGTAGGCTTTATGTGTCTGTTTATTAAGTGACTGTCATCCATTGTTATGAAAACTCTGTTTCATTATATGTTTCCTAGGACCAACTGTTTGTTAGGGTGATCAATTCCTACTAGATATAGTTATTTTATTGTTTCACTCTAAACAGTTGAAAGCTATCCCCAGGTGTAGTAATAGCTGAAGCAGACTCTTGAGCTATGAAAAGCATTTATAAAGCAATTGATGCTGGAGTAGTATGGTTGTAAATAAATAATCCTGGTTCTTTCCTGAACAGATACTCATACTGTCTTGCTCATAAAAGTTGATCTTCAGAGTTCATACCAATATTTGGAAGTTGTAAAAAGAATTTTTTTAGTAATTGACATATCTTTGTATATGCAAATGCAAACTAACTTGGATGCCGTTCTCTGTTGATTCAGGAACATAGACTATGTCAGACAGGTGCTTCTTCAAAACCAGGACTACCAGATTAAGGTATCCAACTATTTTCGATGTGTCACTCTACTCAAAATGAAGATAACTTCGACTTTTTGACAGGCCACATCAGAGCCACAGACCGTGACTGATAAGACACCGAAGAACAATCACACGTTCAGTCTTAAACTAACAGATTAAATAAATACAGTTCTCGAGGACCGAGCCACCGCCGCAAGGCCATCCCCGACCTGTGCCGCTGCCTTGCTCGTCCCCGATCCGTGGGCGTCATTCGCTGCTCCTAGGACGGAGCACTGAAAAGGAGAAGGTGCAGCTGCCGCCCGTAAGGTGCTCAGGTCTACGTCGGGCCCTTCATCAGTGACGAGCACCAACAGGTATGCCCACCCTTCTCTTCCCTTCGTGCTCTGCGAACCGAGCACCCAAACCATGGAGTCATTTGTATTCAGATCTAATCTAATTACAAGTGTATACATGTTTCCCTTTCAAAGATACCCCACTCTGATTTTCTGTAGTATTTGATTTCCAGTGATTCCATCAGTAAAGGGATGCCCTTATCGTATATAACTTGCCTTGCAAAATGTGTGCACAAGAAATTAGATTCCCTTGGCACGGTTCCTTTCCAGTTGCATTCAATTAGTATTGTAGTTACTGTAGTTTGAGATTTGAGTGGGAAGAAGGGGTAGTTCCCTTTCAGAGTAGTTTCAGATTACAGATGTGGTAAATGAGTCATTTCACATTTTGCGGTCATTAATTATCTCAGTGAATTTCTGTTTGGTTTGTTCAGAATTTGGTTTGGTGCAGCCTTGCAAAAATTTAGAATCCAAAAATGGTCAAAATTGTTTGCAATTTGCCAAATTTTAATTGGCAGTTGTGTCAACTGAACAGGGGATCTACCAACTGTTGTAGTGTCGAGATTGATCAGGCAGCACAAAGTGGCAGCAAGCTTTCAGTATGACATTTGAAGAAGTGGCCACTGTTTCATGTATGTGTATCAGAGCAATTCTCAGTCATCTCAGAGATCAATTGATTGTCCGACGACATGCTTCAGTCATGCTAATTAGGTACTAAGCACTGATTAGGTACTAAGCACTTTGATCACATATCTACCAGGCTGCCATGTGGAATTGCTTAGTTAATCTGCGCACTATTTGGTTGGCATAGTATTTTAATTGAGTTTTTAGCATAAGGACATGTGAAATGAGCTGTCTAGCAGTAATGACTAATGAGGATCCCCTAGTGTTTGGGATCCCTGTAACTTCAGTGGTGTTATGTCTAGCTGAGATATGAATCAATTGATGCACAATTAGATACTCGTACATCTTACAAGCACACTCAGCAAGTGCATCTCTGAATATGTGTTAATATCCATGCTTGAGAATTTGTTATTCATTACTGCATTCCATTGCCGACAACTTTGACATCCGTAGTGCTGCAGACATGCTACCTTCGTCAAAGAGAAAGGATAAAACATCAGTGTACAGAGCTCATCATAAATCCCTTATCTGAACTTTTTTCTCAAATCAAATCAGTCAATTGTTCATTCCTTTTACCCGAACACAATCATTATTTAATCTATATGCAGTTAAGGTTTTTTCCTCGCTTCAATTGTTTATGCACACGGGCAAGTCCTTGATAATATTCAGTTAATGTTATTCATTAACTGAATATTATCAAGGACTTGCCCGTGTTTATATATATATATATATATATATATGCAGATCACTCTTCAGAAATTCAGCTCTCTGTCAAGCACGTGCGTGTTGTTTTTTGCAAGCTATTTCTGTAAGTGCTGGACGAGAGGGTCTACTCTATTAGTTGTTGGTTCATTACTATTCATTGGCAGACAGTCCCTTGTTGCTCTGAATTTCACAGACAAAATGGAATTCCTGTATAGTTGTTTGCGTCCCAAGGTCTATCTGTACCACGCTAATGCTTATTGCATTAATTTAAGGCATATATAGTTTAAAATACTGAGACTTGGACACTGTGCCAATTCTAAATAATTTTAATTTTTCTATTCATCTTGAGTGTACCAAAAATAGGAGTAGTAGGACATTTTGTCTATCCCTTTCATATCAAATCAATTATGCATTATTATTAAAAAAAAGTTTAGTTGTGCATCTTCGGTTGTTTCATATTTTCAGCTATCACTTATGTGACCTGTAGCTTCTCCATATATAACTTTTGAAATAAGCACTAACCAAGGTAGGTTCTCTTATTATCTATGCATTCAATCTGGTAGGAACACTGCTCCTATTTTCCTATCATGCGCCCTAATTTTTTGGTCCCTATTGTTTTTAGATGAACCACCTTAGATTGTCAAAGCAGTGATCTAATCCTGACTCTGTGATACAGTTCATTAATCTTTCTTAGGTAAGTAATCCTGACTTGGGCACCACCCCTTTGCTGGAGATTCAAATTTCCCTCTTCATGATGATGTGCAGAATGGGAAATCAAAAGCGGGAGAGATCGATGAGAACAAATGAATTTGGTTGGAGTTGCAGCGGGCAGCGGCTTGCTTACTTGAGGGAGGGAAGGAGGGATGCAGAAGGAGAGGTGGTGCAGAACCTGACTTCAGAGTTATTATGAATGCCAGCTTATGTAACTGTCTTTATTTCCTCCTGTCTTCTATTTCAGACAATGATATAGCCATTTATCCTTAGCTTACATTTCAGCACTCTACAAGTGAGACAGCCATTTGTGTTACAGATGTTTCCACCTTCATAAAGTCATCATTAACACTATTCCGACTGATTTGTTGTGAGCGAAAAACACTGTTTCGGCTGAAAAAACAAGCTGAAAAGTACGGATTATAAGAGAAGCGAACATGGCCTCAAGCTATTCTGTTTGAAGTGGAACACTCAAAATTTTATTGCAATCAGAGCAGCAATGTCGAAGTGGAACACTCAATTTTTTCTTGTTTTGTCTCTACTATTTTATTTGTTCGCTGAAGGTTCCATTGTCAGTGTTGGTAATGATGTCAAAATAATATTTGTATTGCCTCAGCCTTTGTCTGAATCTGACAGATAGATCTCTCGTTAGTACTCTAGCCTAATTTAGGATTAACAAGTGCATCTTAATTCTCATGGGTTTTGGGGCAATGTATTGTTCCTTGATGACACTGGATGATCTTCGGATCACTTTTTCATCTTGTTTCGGAAAAAATTGAAAGTGGCTCAAGCTATATTGTTAAGAACCCTAAGTACAAGCTAGGAGATTCCTCCCCTTCTGCTTGTGATTTCTGTAATTCAAGGCAAAAGCTCAATTATTCTTTTCAACCTACTGCTGCCTCTAAAAGATCTAGGCCCTTGTTTGGGTTTTGATAATTAATGACAACACTTGTGGACTAACCTTTCATTTGTAAGTGTGTGAAGGAAAGTTGGTTTAGTTCACAAAACCAATCTCGCTCAATCAAGAGATACATAACCAAAACCAATCTCACTCAATAAGACATACATACATAGAAACCAAAACCAATCGTGCTCGATCACTGTCTAACATTTCTATTTCTATCAGATTATAACTGCATCATCGCCCGCCTGAGACTCACGTCTTCGCCCACCCGCGCCAAGACCACCCCCACCCACGATCAGCGCGCCACGTGATCACACGACCCCCGCCCCGCGTCCTCACCTGGCTGCAAAAGGCTCCTCGACTGCATATAATGGTGCCACCTACGAAACCCATCGGATTCTTCGCTACATAATATACCTTTGCCCTCCCTCGCCGCCAGTATCAACGCGTGCATCGACTCCCCTCCCTCAGCAAGTGTACTGCTGCTCGCAACGTCTCTTGCTTGGGGAGACAGCTCCATTGCAGATGAGCCGAGCAGCACGCAGAGAGAACACCGGGCGGCACGGAAGGAGAACGTCATGCGACTCCATTTCACGAACTTGCTTTTCGGGTTACATGTCACTTTAACGTCGGTATATAATTTCACAGTATTGTTATTTTATCGTGCGATCCGTGTGTTTTTAGTACAAAAGTTTAGTTGTACTGTAGCAACGCACGGGCACGCTACCATATAAAAATAAATAGAGGTAGAGTAGTAGTATTGATATGTAGTTCACCTTTGAGGGAAAATGCTGATCTCTTGAGCCTGATTAAGAAAAAAAATCATATGAAGCTAGGGACAACAACACAGTTTTTTCCCATATAGAAGAAAAGATACATGTCGAAAACTCGAAATCCTCTATACCATCAATAGTAATTTGCAATTACCATAGCAAATGCGACCCAATTTGCTTACTACTAGGAGTACATGTACATGCTATCTTAAGGGCTTTACGTAACATGGGAAGAAAAGGGGTGATCGGAGAGGGATTTGGAAATGACACGAGTGCTCCAGGTTAGGTGATTTAGCAAGTTCTCCCTACCCAATTCATTTCCACCAATTGCCTAAGAGATACAGCACTCCATCCCTCGATTCCCTGTCGAAGTTGTGCGTAGACTACTCTCACGGAGTCTAAGCAAATATTTACAGAGCCAAACTCATACACTGGCATGCCATTGTAGAACCTGCCAACTCTAGGCATAAACAGCAAGCCTTTCTCCATAGCGTATGCCTGGATACACTCCTTGAAGCTCAGATCTGGCTCGGTTGCTCCATGGCAAGAAGGGAACTGTGATGCTTTATCTGCTGCATCAACTTGAAGTTTCTCTCTACCACTACCTCTCAAGTATGGCATATTCTCCCCAGTTCCAGGCTGCACAACATCCAGTCCTTCCGCGTCTCGGTCCATCATGTCAAGGCCAAGTGCTAAGAGCATCCGTATGCGCGCGTCAGCAAGCAATTGAGGTGGGAAACTGTCCTTCCAGCACTTATACCAATTAACGATCTCGTTGAAATCAGGATTCGGGGAACACAGCCAGTGGTATAGGACCTTATGCCACTTGCTGAAGAAATCAACTTCCAGCAATCGGACCATGCAGCGCACCGGGATTGTAGAAGCCCAAACCATCACGCACCTGAACTGATCGAGCTTCTGGTCCGCTGGGTTGATCTGAAACTCTTGCAGTGCCATCCTCAGTTTCGGGGCGATATAACTAGCAATCAGGTCTTCCCAGACTGCAGAATCGAACACGTTCTTCCACGGTGACAGCAGAGCGTGAGCTGATGTGTCGTGAGCTTGCCATACGCGGAGGACGCTGCTCAGCTTGCACCGGATGGCATGGCACAGGGTCTCTATGCTGCTTTGCTCTAGCATCGGCAACCATGGGTGCACCCACACATGGATAGGCACCTTCTCCCTGCGCGGATCCCAGGAATCCACGGCAGCCGAGAGCTTTGGCATGACCACATGCTCCAGTATCAACTGAAGCGCGACAGGGGGCAGCACCTGCCCCCATGTATTGAGAAACTCGAGCATTGGTTCCGGAACCCTTGCTTCCCATGAATTGGTTCCTGACATTCGCACAGGTGGCACGATGACCTCGCACACGAGCTGCGCGTACGGCGCCATTGAAGATTTGAAGCGGCGGCGCCGTGCGAGAAGTCATATGGCTGGTCTCCGTCTCCCTCCAGCAAATCCTTCCATGATGACATGAGCTCCAAGCCAACCGACGGATCCACGAGCGGCTGCCAGCCCAGGAAGAACCCGACCATCAGCGGGTGCGCGAACTGGCAAGCGACCCATGCCATGCCGCACATCTTGAACTCCTCCTCGAAGCGCGCCTTCAGGTCCCTGAACGTCAGAAGCAGTCCTTCCAGGGTGAGGACGCCGGCTGAATCGTCCATCCGAACCTGCTCTAGCGCCCCTGCAATCGTCTCCATGACCTGAAGCTGCCGTTTCTGCGCCGCCTCCTGCTTCGACAGCTTTGTCTCCTCCCGCGCCAAGCTGGCCGCCTTCTCGTGCTCCCGCCGCAGCTGGCCGTCCAACCAGACAACGTTAGCCTCCGTGTCGTCAACAAGTAGCCGCACGTTGTGCTGTAGCTCCGGCATCGGAGCGTCGTCAGCCTGCATCTCCTGCCCCTGCCCCTGCTCGTCGTTGAGCCCCCTCAGGTCCGTCAGCACGCGCTCCTGCCGCCCTCGCCTGTCGATCACCTTCTGGACGACGGTGGGGTGCCCCTCGGCCTCCTCCAGCGCCTGATCGGCACGCGTTGCCGGCAATGCATTCTTCGCCAAGACGGGGGCTTTCCTAGCCCTCGCCTTCTTCGACCACCGTGGCGGCCGCTCCTTGGTTGAAGTGGGCGGCGGCAGGTTCTCCTTGACCGACTGGGTCATGGGTTCCTCGCCGTGGCCAAGGCCGGCGTTCTTGTGTCGCTCGGTGACCGCCACCGGTTCAGTAATCCCCTGCCCGTCCTTGCCGAGGTCCATGCCGTCAACGTACCTCATGATGCGCATCATCTCGACAACCTTGGCGTTGGATCGCACGCTCCCCGGGGCCGGCGGCGGCTTCACCACCGACGCCTGGGCGCGGCGCGTTCCCGCTCCTTTTTCTCCCGCCTTGCGCGGGCGCCCTGCGTGATCTTCCCGAACATCGTGGGGAGCGGCTCGATGCCCACCTCCTCCGCCCCCGCCTTCGCCTCATCCTCTTTGGCGGTGGCGCTCACAGGGCCGGGCCCTGGATTCCGGGACGGTATGACGGAGCCGGAGGAGACGAACCGGACCGGCTTGGAGAGATCGGGCTCGGCGGAGGCGTCCCTGCGCCGCTTGCGGCGGTGGGACCCATTGTCATCGTCTGAGTCGTGGCGGGTCCGGCGCGCGCGCTCGCCGCCGTCCATGCCGCCGCCTCTCCCCGGTAGCTCTCGGCTAGGACTCCGATTGGGAGGAAGAATCGCGACAGGGATCGAAGAGCATCCGATCGCTATGTCGGTTCGTAGCAAAAATATTTGAGAGTTCGGGAAGGATCAGGGAAGTTTGCTACACGCGTGCAGGGACCAATTCAATCTAGTATACGCGTTTCCCCTTGAGCCCGAGTCGGTTGCAGCACCAGAACCTGTTCGTTCGGTCCTCCTTCCGGGAGAGTCGGTTCATCGCGCGTCTCTTCTCTCTTCAACTTTAGGGCATGGCCAACGCGCGTTGGCCTCCAAAATGGTTTCAAAGAGAGAGACGGTTACACATCAGATGAAGGCCTGTTCATTTGAAGAAATTTGGAGGAATCTGAATAGTTTTAGCTGAAGGAATTTGTGAGAGAAAAATACTGTTCCAAATAAAAAAAAACAGATCAAACCAAATTTAAGTCAGTACCACAAAAATAACTTCCAACAACTTCCAACCCAAACTATCTTTACTGCTAGACCCCACAAGTTGTCTTTTCCTTTGCTTTTGTACTCCTCCAAAAAATAACTTTTATCATCCAACAACTTCCAACCCAAAAAATATCTTAGTACTATTTTAGACCCTACAAGTTTCTTTTTCCTTTGCTTTTTTGTACTTTAAAATGGTTTGACTTAGCAGAAAAACATTATTTGTAGAGAATCCTATATCTTTTTGTCTTTTCCTTTGCTTTAGTACTGTGTAGCAGAAGCACCATTCTCCCAACGCGGTGCCTGGGTGTGTCTTCATACTTCTATGTCAGCGAGGTCATCGCAGCTTCTGGAGTATATGCGAATCTGCAAACCACCATCAAAGCTGAGCTGGGTGTTGGTCTCCTACGTGGAACACTGAGGCTAATGTCCAGCGTGTCGCGTTGGGGCTGTGGCCTTAGTCGGTTCTAATCTATCTGTTGCTTCAGAAATTTATCTCAGAACGAATTATCCATCGCATCTTTTGCTTTTGGTGACGTCGAATGTATAGTGCACGTGAACATGTTGGATACATATTATGTGTTAAGTGCAGGAACGGCCATCTTTTGAGGAACAGTAGCTGCTTCCAACCCAACCAATGGAAGGTACAGCGTCGAATTTCTCCATGTACAGAGCTGCTGATGGCTCAGCTACTGATTCATGCTAGCAGATCAAACGCATGTAACATATTTTATTGGACGAAGGGATCACATCAGAGGATCCTGGAAGGCCCACCCGGGTAATCATGCCTGCTAAATCAAGAAACAAAAGAAAAAAGCGTGTTCAGCGAATCTCTTTTACGACGCTGACCTGTTATTAGTAGTTTACGCAGATCCTTCCTTCGTCTGGTAGCGAGCCAGAAACTAGACAGACCATGAGAACCATAGTGCATAGTCACACGACCACCACGGCCGCAATCCAGGCGATGGGGCGGAAGAGAAGAAAATGAAGACGCCATGACGGCCATGTGAATAACGAGCGAGGCAGCGAGCCCGTCTCCGTGGCCAGATGGTGAGTCTTGATGGAGGTGCCATCGACTCTCACCAGCCACGAAAACTTTTTTCTGAGTCGGTTTGTTGCATTGCTTGCTTGCTCGCTCGCTCACCTGACCTCACTTCACCTCACCTGTCTGGTAAATCGATGCCGTGCGTTGTAAGAGTTACCCAACGCAATGCATGCGTTCACACGCCTCCGCGGCGCGTCGGTCCAAGCAAGCATCATTGACGCCAAGAAAAGGAGGAGCTTGCGGCGCACGCGTCCGGCGTACGTACGTCCTCGGCCGCCCGACGCTGTTTCTTAATTTAGCCCCGGGGGATATGATGCATCTTGCTTAATCCACTGGTGAACAAGGCGCAGAAGAAACTAATTAACGACGACGACGACTGATGGCTTGTTTTTTGCCCGGATTGCTTTCTTTATTACAGTATCAGGCAAAGAAACAAGACGCTGCGGCGTGCACTAGTTTAATGGGGCGCGGTGATCTTGAGAGCGAAGGGTCGTACGTACGTGAGGGTTCTATCGATCCGCGACAGCGACGGGGCAACGTATGGCCGTTCGGCGTAGCATGATTGTGCGGCAAGGGAGTCCGTTGTGGCAGAGGGAGCACTCAGACGGAACCCAATGGAAGGGAGTGGAGAATAGTGTGGGAGGCTTTACCCAAGTGTAAAGCAAGCGAAAGGCAAGCTCTGCGGGTTACTTCACCGGCGGGTTGCATTGCTCACTAGTAATTTGCGCGGGCCCATGCGCGCTGTGATAACACCTTTATGATTTCATCACATGATCGAGATTGCAGACAGAGAGATATCTGGGATTAGAACCATTAGACGTTAGTAGCATAACTTTTAACACACCCAAGGTAAATGTTCAAAGTCACAAGCTTAGTACACACTGATACATTGATCCTAAGGTGGTACATTGGACGTACGGGATCACAATAGCCATCACATGCGGGAGAGAAATAGCAGTTCCTAGGAGATGCTACCGAGCCATGGCGGCGTGGTGCTTTTTCAATTCCGGGTCAGACTCACAGGTTGGAGTGGGCGAAAAGGCTGCTTAAATCAACACAACAAATGCTACTTTTTTAGCTACCCAAGAATCTGATATGTACTACTATAAATGAAAATGCATTAGAAGCTATATAGCTTGGTTCCGAGCTGTACCTTTGGTTTCAAAGCAAGGATTGTAGCTTGTAATTTCGTTGTCAGTGTTTGAATGGTGGTGGATCAAACCAACGCCATAATAGCTTGGCCACTAGCATGCCTGATGAGCTGTATATTAGAGAGAATAGTGTCTAGGCATGTGATGAGGGCGTAGCCGATAGTATATGCAGGCTAAGTGGCTAACTAAAAGAACAAAGCAACACTCTAAGGTATGGTGTATATGGTCTAAGTGACATCATCTTCGTGTTGTTGTCTGTAGGATTCGTCAAGAGCCTCTCTATCCACATTGAATTCGTCCGCTATTAGAAATTCAAGGAAAAGCATGCATTGGATCAACGTCAAAAAGCATGCATCGGAGCTAAGTATTAGGAACTATGGTATGCATCATCTATATAAATACTGTGATGTTACATGTGTCGAAAAAACACATACAGCCAGAATTATCTGATGTTTCGTCACCATTCTTGAAGTCTAGTGGTGCTTCGGAAAGGTGCGTGGAGCGTGATAATTGGCATCCTAGACATCACAGGATGTCTAATTAAACCACTAGAAGAATAGTATACCATAAAGGCAAGCAGAAATCAAAACATCATATAATGAAATATATTGTCAGTAAAAGGAACAAATGGCTCACATAGGCTGCAAACATAATAAGTTTGACTTTAAAACATTTTTTAAAGTGAAAACACAGTTTCAATCTACACAGTAGAGAGGTATATAAAAATTTAAAAATCAGGCTACAAAATGTATGCAAGGACATCGAACAGAAGATAAAGCAATAATTTGTATAATAAATTGAGAACGTAGCACTAAAGACTTTACAACCAGGAAGATAAAAAAGTGATAGAAGAGTTAATATTAACCCAAAAGGCAGCTATAATCATCCAACGATAAAATAGTTAGGTAACACAACTTATATTACGATCAATCTACATCTGCTGCCATTTGAAATCTCTAAATCACCGAGTAGAAGCACTGAATTACCGATACTAATTAGATATCTAGAAAGGCATGAGGCGATGCATTAACATTATTGTATTTTGTAAGTGCATAGTTAATTGTCAACTCTAGAATAAGGCAAGTCAGAATACTATTGAGCAACATTGTTTTCGTTTGCTGATATACCAGCATAGATACATGAAACTTTTTTCCATAATTATTAGGAGACATGTATCTTACTAGGAACTATCAAAGCAACAAATATACATGTATCTCCATTGTCATGACCAAATATAATTGGAAATATAAAGCAGAGAATAGAGGACGAAAGAACACTGCTCTATCTGGTCAGCTTACTGAAGAGGCAGCCAGCATAATTTTCCCTCTTAGCCTTGGGAAAAAACACTTGCTATCACAACCCTAAATCAGGGAAGCAAAACATTCTTTTTGATGCAGACTTACCAAGGGTTCTTGTTTTTTGAGACGTAAACCATCTTATTCTCGAGTGTGCGGATCTTTAAACTCTAGACCTGAATAGTTACAAACAACAAAGGATGAGTCTCAGGTTTTATTATCATATAAATCTACCTTAGTAGGATTTAACAAAGGGACTCATTATAAATCTATGGTTACATAATTCATTACAAATATGTATTCCTACAAATAGTAGTAAAACAATCCATTATTGACTGGATTTTAAAATAATATCATAGCACAAATATTTGAGCTGTCTTAGATAGGGAAGTTCTAACAATCTTTCATTTGAATAAGATTATTAACTAACCCTGAAAGCAACTTCCACGTGTCATGAAACATTAAATGGCAATATCGAAGGGTTGTATTACATTAAAATTCCTACGACATGCACAAAAACATATTGGATTGAACCATTTCATTCCATACTTGAAATAGGAAAAGAGATGCTAGCCCAGGCATTATATTTGCTAAACCACTGATAATCATCTGTGCATGACACAACAATGCATCTATAGGTACCAACAAAAAATATACACTTATCGAGCAGTTAGTAGAACACCAGCCAAGTAGAAAATTATCAACCACAACTGACAATTCAGGCTTAGACTTATAAAGGATTTCGCTCGGATAAGTGAACATATAATTTTTAATCAGATATAGCACAATACGTTCGCTGGTTGCCTTGACTGTTATAATCTGAACCAGATAATACCTTAAGGGTATATCATCAATTAACATTAAAAAATATACAATTGGAATAACCTCACCTTTTCATCTACTCAAACAAACTATTCTAGGAAAAAAGAAGACTTTCTTATGGCTACAAAACGAAGATGTTACAGGTCCAGACATTCGGTAACTACATATGTTGTCAAATGTATGATCATGATCCATCAGCACCAGCATGCATATATAATTTTT